AAACTTAGTCGAAGTTGACGAAGGTGTAAAATAGTCCCAAACAACTCCAGTGTGTATCATTCCAGTGTGTCATTCAGTGGGACTCAACACTTCACCACACGGGCGCGCTCACTTACATGTTTCGTGGTTGAGCAGCACGCACGCACTGCTTAATCAATGAGATACATTTTATCGATTAAATGTATTATCGACAATTAATCAATCGTCGATTAATCATTGACATCCCTAGTGTGATGTAACTTTTAATTTAACAAAGTAAAAGAACATTTAAAAAATTAAAAAATAAATAAAAATTGGCACTCTATTGGTGGGGCAGTTGTCAAGTTAACCGGAATAGCCCTATAGTCACAGGAGATGCAAATGAAATGCATAAGGTAATGCCTCTTGACTGACCACCTGTGATCAGATTACTGAAAACACAGTATAAAAGGACAACCACATTTCTGTGATTGAAACCGAAAATTCTCGGGACAGTTGCATGTGTCCAAATTTTAAATCTCAACCGTTCTATTTCATCAGAAACGATCTTGAAACAGGGCTTTAAGTGAAAATACCGAACTTGTCCTTTAATACCAGGTTGAAACCACCTCACTCGATTTCTAGGATATTCTACATAATTTGCAAGCATAAGGGAGCCACTATCAATTTGCGGGAGACTCCAGGATGTCTGCTTTATATGAGCAAAAAAAAAAAAAAAAGAAGAAGAAGTTTCCATTAAATTTGACATGGGTCAAATGTAATCTCACCTTCTACATAAGGAGTTGGGTCTCCAATTTTTCCTGGCATCTGGTCGGCAGGCTTGAGTACTTCCATGTCCAGTATAACCACCACACGTCTGTATAGAACAAACACAAAAGCTCAATAATATTCATTAATGAAAATATACTACAGTTCAAATGTTTGAGGTTAGTAAGATTTTTTGATAGAAATTAACACTTATTCCGCAAGAATGCATTAAACTTCCCACAGGTATTCATAATGTTATTCATAAAGATTTCCATTTCACATCAACACTGTTTCTTATTATTCTTTAAAATATCCTGAAAATAAGCATACAGATTTCCACAAAATATTATGCAGCACAACGGTTTTCAACACTGACAGTAAGAAATGTTTCTTGAGCAGCTTAATCATCATATTAGAATGATTTCTGAAGGATCATGTGACATTGAAGACAGGAGTAATGATGCTGAAAATTCAGCTTTGCCATCAAGAATAAATTACATTTCTAAATATTTTAAAATAGTAAACAGTTATTAGTATATTTATAATATTGTTTTACTGTATTTTTGATCAAATAAATGCTGCATTGGTGAGCATAAGAGACTTCTTACAAAAACATAAAACAAATCTAACTGCCCCCAAAAATTTAAAAAGTAGGATAAACAAAGCAGAGCCACAGGGACATTTGCTAATAATAACTACTGTAAGAAATGTATCTGATCAACACCTGGAGACGAATCCTTACCGTCCATCCTTGAGAACATTAGTGACGCTCCTTTTCAGCATACACACACAGTTAGAGGCCAACTGGTTTTGCTCAGCCATGGGATTGAGCTGTGTGGAGAGCATGAATGCTGCATGCAGGGGACAAATATTAAAAAAATACATGGTTTAGGACAGCCTTTCTCATATTTGCATGTTTTAGAAAACCTGGGGTTTACATCCTAATGACATGAGCAAAAGACTACTTTTAACAAATATCACTTACTCGCACTTTTATAGTCACACTGCTTATCCAAATTATCTCAAATAGACCATTCAACTTTCAAACACATAAGCACTGAACATGGACATTTAAATGTGCAACAAAAGTACTAGAGAAATATATGGCTTTGGTGCTGATGATCAAAAAGCAAACAGATGTTTTAAAACAACATCCTCCTGCTGCACATGAAAATGACAATGTATTTTAAGGACAGACACCAAATGAAACACACAAAGGCATCTGAAAATTGATCAAACTTACAGGACATAGTGTGCAGCCCATCACTCATCATGAGACGGAAACGGGACAGGCCATTTCCCCCATCAATCTTGCGGATGTTCTGGAGAGAATATTCAACATTTAACAGTCTAATAGTAAAGATAACTAGAATGGAAATAAATGGTCTGGAGTATTAAAGAAACCAAACTTTCAGAAGCTAATAAAAACATTAAATTACTAAAAACACTGATAAAAAAAAGGCTAGACTTAAGGTTTAACTTGTTAACATTAACTAAAATAAAAAAAAAATTCTACAGCATTTATTAATCTTAGTTCATGTTTATCTCAATATTTATTTAACAAATGTTAACAGACACAACTTTTAATCTTAAAGATGTTTAATGCACTGAACACGAACATTTGTATTAAATAAAATTAACAACGGTTAATAAATGGTGTTATTAATATATTGCTCATTGTTACATGCATTAACTTATGTTAAAAATTATACCTTAAAAAAATACATTATTTCATGCATTAATTTACTTAAATGTATACATTAACATTTTATTCCCCTCGGAAATCACGGAATCTGATGATTGTCATTGTTTACAATATTGGTCTTTTGTCATTGTCTAAAACTTGGATACCTAGAATATAAGGTGATGTAACAAAATAACTTTAATAACTTGTAAACAGTGTGCAATGAATTGACAGTTAACTTACCACACATTGAAGAACAGGGTTGCTGACTTCCACTCCTTTAGTCAGGGACTGGGGGGAAAGTACACAATACAAAACACTGTTACACTCAGATCATAAATCATGTCAACAATATTAGTGATTTCAGATATCTGACTTATTCCACACACATTCACAGACCACATGATTAAGTATTTTCCATCTACAATGAGAGAGAGACTGTTTTTATATGTTCTGTTCAGTATCCGCTGCTGCAATTGCATTATATAAAAACACTTGCGTCTCTGCATTGCGTCGACACGTTTCATCCTCGATTTTAACCTTTTTACAGTTCACACGTGTCATTATCGAAAAGGGTGAGCAGAATAAACAGAAGGCAATGTTAAAAATTTTGATTTTATCTCACTCACTGTCACAGTCCGAAACCGAAGAAAGTCTTGCTGGCTAACGTTAACTAACTAAGCATGTTTTGGTCTGCAACGGTTGAAATAATGCTGCGGTCTTATTCTTACCTCAATTGCCCCTTCTGACAGTATAACAGTCATGTTTTCACAAAAATATAGCGAACGAAAGATTAATGTTGTATTGACAAAAGATCACAAGCGTCTCTGGTCCGCAACACTTTCCTGTATCCTCGCGCCAACTCACACCAAACCCGCGAAACTGCGATAGCGATGACGCGTTTCCCGTTACGATCTACTTCCGCTGAACGTCAAAATAAATACAGACAGAAAATAAATACAGACGAGACAAATGTTTCTTGAAGCGGACTACTTTTATTCCTTTTTTGATTCAGTAAGTTTTGCGAGTCTGAACATTTTTTAATCATTTGTTGTGAGGTTGTGAACTATTTAATGTGCTAATGTTTATTATTTAAAACAAATTTTGTAACAAACATTAATGCCACAAGAGCAATTCACAGTCACATTCCTGACAACTGCCAGGCATTAGCTCCCTCTTTTTGTTGTATCAATATATATATATATATATATATAATTTTATATATTTATTTTATTAAAATAATAAGAGTATTTAATTTAATTATAAGATAAGAGTAATTTAAAAATAAGAGTATTTTCTTAATAAACTAAATAATTGCAGTTTTTTTACATTCCAAAATGTTGCTCTGAAAATAAAAAAAGCATATCAAAAATATACATTTTCATATACATCTTCTTTCAAAATAATGAAATAACAAATGTAGGCTACAATTGTTTCTTTTTTCCGGTCCACAATGTGCTCTGTGTAAAATGGATAACTGAGATAAATCATATGATGTATTATGATAAAAAAATTGTTTTGGTTTTTTTCATTTGAATTTAAAAGAAAGTTGTTTCCCCTGCAGCATAAGAAAAACTGACAATCAACAAACCTACTTAGTGTTCAGTCATGTGACAAATACAATTTAATTGATAAAATACAGTTGATTATTGATTTGTGATTTTGTGTCCAGTACATTTTTACCAGTATTTATAAAAAATAGTGATAATCTGAAGAACGTTTGTAAAATCGGATAAAATTCTGAAAAGTGATATCTCTGTTAACAGATTGTTGTTATCGTACCTGAAACAAGGCAATATTTCACAAAAATAAAATAAAATCAAAATGATAGGGTTTTCAATAACATAAGAGTGAGTAGACAATTTTCATTTTTGGGAGAACTATTAACCCATTAAATAAATCCACTTATGAGACACATGAATTTCTGTTAAAATGTCTTTAATTAAAAAAAAGAAAATCATGACTTTTTAACAAGATTAGCAAGGACAACATGAATTCACATAAGGGGGAGTAATTTCAAATTATCTTATAGACCTCAATGTACTTTTACAAAATATGTCCTTAATTTGCTTCCCAGTGGGGACCAACTATGCAGTCAAAAATCACTTACGGACTCATTCTGCTAAAACTATGAAAACTACTTTGGATCAACTTCAAAAGATACTGGCTTGTCATTAGTTTTATCTGAATTTCCAGGGTTTGTGACCATAGTGGAGGCTCCAGGGTTTGGGTTGGAAATTACTCCCAGAAAAAATGGCGTTTGGCTCAGGTCATCCATTAGGGCAAAGAAAAATGGCTGATTGACAGTAAATGTAGGATTGGAACGTGAGATGACCACACTTGTTGCGGCCGCTGCCTCTGCCCCTTCTTCGTTTATCTCAATACTGGACATATGCTGCACACTGGACACAAACAAGGGGCCCTCTGAGATGCGGTCCAGCTTCGGGTGACTAAATAGCATTCCTAGACCTGGATTACAGTAGAATTATATATTTGTTAGCATACATAAATGGAAGAAATAGTAAAATAACTATGAATCCAAAGTGATCTCCTTGATCATGAGGCAACTGAACATACAGTACAGATGCTCATCACTAGTTAAACTACTAACAAGTCATAATGTACATCCATTACATCCAAGACATCTTACCCATGCTTGTCATGGCCTCTTGGAGGTCCTGTTTGAAATCAAGCTTGAATTTTGGGAGTTTGACTTGCATGTTTCTCTCTCGTGGCAATCGAATATACAGATCTGAGATATTGAGCTTAGCTGCAATGGCTGACACATTCACATGTCCAGATGTTGGCATTACCACCACTAGACTCCTGTCACCTTTAAAGGGGAATCGAGCAACCTGTGGAGGTCAAAGCAGAAGAAAAGGTGAGGAAAAGAGATTTAATCAGTGCTATTTATGAAGTAGCATCTTAAAGGCAGTAACCTGGGCATCCAGCTCACGGTGGGGGAAAACACTGAGAGGATACTTTGGCCCAAGCATCATGTCCACATTAACAATCTGGTTTTCATCTATGTAGAAGGGCTCAGTTGAGGTGAAATGAGGATCAAAGCGGGTGAGCCACTCTCCTGTCAGAGAGATAATAAGACTTGGATTATATGGTCCTTTTTTGATTTACACTTGTGAAATAACAAGGGAACGATAATGCAACGGATCTGAGTAATGCTGACGTGACTCACTGAAGCACAAGAGGAAATTGCTAAATACTTGCTGGTAACAGGTGTTTGTTCTGACCTTTGTAGTGCATTGCATTGATCAGCATCATAACAATGCTGGGAGGAATACTGGACAGAAACTCTGAGATGTGACCATTTGTGGCTTTCTTAACCCATTCATTGATCTCATTAACATCAGTCAAAATGGCTGGCTCTGAGTCATACAGTTTCTGAGAATCTTCCATGAACTCCTGTTTTGCTTTAAATCCTGAAGGGAAGAAAAGAAAAACATTCATAGCGTTGCATAGTACATGCATCCATCCATCCATCCATCCGTCTATCTGTCTGTCTGTCTGTCCGTCTAGCTTTTAAAACTACTAAACTAAAACTTAAAACTATTTCAAACTTAAAACCTTCAAACTTAAAGCTGTTAAAACTACTTTAAACTTTCTGGCTTGGTCTACAAACTTTTTAATGTAGTTTAAAATAAACTGAATGTACATATTAAATATGTTGAAGTGTGAACTTAAGGGGAAATTACTTCATAAATGCACTAATGCATAATTCACATGATTTTAAGTGACCTAAATATACACACACACACACACACACACACAAAAAACTTTGGGGGGCCACTGTATAGATCTGCAGGCAATTGCTGACAATGTATATATTTTGTGTAAGCTACATGTGCGTGTCTCTCACCAGTTTGCAGATAGATGCGGCTGGCGAATGACAGGCTCCTTTTGCGGAAGTTGCGCAGGAGGCTGCTGAGTGCAGTGTGGTAGCAGGGCAGTGCGTCTGCATGCAGGTGGTGTAGAAGCAGCTCTTCTGTCTCATTTGTCGCTCCTGAGATTCAAATAAACAAGAAGATTGTCTCAGGTTTGTAATATGTATGCATGCAAAAACAGAACAGAAACCAAAACATTTGCTATTCAATGAGTTTTTTGTTTTTATTGTAAATTTTGAACTTACCCAGCGCTAGCTGTGAGAGTGCAACGGACAAGCTAAGAGGGGAAATGATGAGATTGGGCTGCTCAGGACTAGGCTTCAGGTTTTCCAGGAACCAAAGGCCAAGCTTCATAATGCCATTTCCTATGGTCAATTTAATCTGTTGGCTAGACATTTCCCCATCACAGAGCGAATCAAGGTCCTCCTCAGAGGAGCCCTCTTTCTGCCCAGGAGAGGGAACCGTGGCTGAAGGATCTGCTTCCAGGCCATCTGGAGTACTCGTGTGTGCTTTTGTTATGGTGGGGTCAAGAGTGCCTTCCAAATCCTAAAAGGGGACAAAGCGATAGGAGTGTCAAATGTCTAAATGTGTGGATACCCTTAAGGATGAGCACTGAGCATTGTGGGTTCTTCTTACTGATATGGGTTTACTTGGCATCAGTGGGACGAGAGGAATTACAGGATCTCTTCCATCCTCTGGTTCTTTCGCATCTTCCTGCAGTGAAAATGAGCAATTTATGGCATTTCATTGGAAAAAAAAATATCATTTTAAAATAAAAAATAATATGAGATTTGTTGAGTGCTTTACCGTCCATCCTTGCTTGGCATAACAGAGGAGGAGGAATGCCAGAAAACACAAGTTCATGTTCTAAAAGGTTCTCTAAAAACCAAAGAACAGAACAACTTATAAAGTATTTGGAATACTTTTTTTCATTGATCACTGGTCATTTGTTCAAAGGTACTCTTTAGTTTTACATATTATTATGGATAAAGTACATATTACATCCATAAATACAAATTTTGCGATCTATTGTTAAGATGTTAGCACAAGAAGCACCCTCATACATAATTTATTGATGACAGAAAATATTTTTAAAATTAATTCCTGTAGGTCTTTCAAATATAGACGTGAACTCCAATTTCAGGTGGATTATTTTTAAATTCACAGATTGTCGAATAATCAATAAATGCTTAACATGGCTAAAGGTCTGTCGGCTCTTGCATAATTCCAGGGTTAAGCCTTTTACATTTGTTTAAAGCTACAGGTTAAAAAAAATTGAGATCACAGGAAAAACAATATACACCTATATATATATATATATATATAAAATAATAAAAATAGATATGGAAATGTTATAGCATTTTACCACTGATACTCCTCTGTGTAATTTGCATTTTCATAAACCTATTTTATCAAAACATTCTTATGGGAATTAAATAATTATTAATTTATTATACTTCAACGAATCACAAAGATGAAATGTACATATTTACTAAGCCAAAGAGCTGGCAACAGAATCAACTTCTATATTTCAACACAATATCTACCAAATCCATTACAAACAACTATTTACAGAGAAAATTTACAAGACAACAAACAAAACTGTGTGCTTACCGCGCAAATCTCCAGTTGTGGGATCCAGCCCTGATTTAGGAAAGAAACGCACAAAATAAGCAATGGGAAAATTCTTGGCTTGGGGGTTGGCACTATCTGAGCAGGCAGTTACATTTCAACTTTCATTGATCTTTACCTCATATATTCTTAGTACCTACCTCTTCATAGATGTAAATATCGAGAGACCTTGGGGTCAAACATCAAACTCGAGTGTGTAGATTTGTAGATCTGTGCAGTTTGAAGTAGAGTATAAACTAAACTGGTACTGTATAGTTTGCTGAGCTGCTGAAAGTGAATGTCAGTCACTGAGTTTGAGTAAACATGCTGCATAAGAAAAACTGCACATAAATGAGAAGGAGATGACAAGTCAGCTCTGCCAAAGCTGATATTAATATACTGTTATTGGATAGAGAGGGCTTTTATATTGCTTTCTTATATGCCACAAAAACAAACCAGTGGCATCTGCCAAGATCTCCAAATTGAGAGCAGTTGAAAAGCAGTACATTGCAAACAATCAAATGAACTTTGTCCTATCAGAATAACCTCTCCGTGGGTGGGTGCTCTGTTTCTAAGCACGAAAATCTACAGAGCGAACCGGACAACTGATCAACTCACCCATTCATCAATGAGGAGGTCATTCAAATTGTTTTTCAGTTGACCAAAGAAAATACAAGACACATTTATTATCTATTTCTTTTACTTTAAATCATTGAAAAGGTTCATTTTAGTGAGAATATAGAAAAAGGTCACATTTTAAAAAAGAAAAAAAGAAAATTTACTCACAATGGAATACAAAAGAGCAATGGCCAATGTGGTTTCAGACAATGTGTTGCTTATGTTATATCAGGCAGATCTTTGTCAAGATATTTAGCATGAATTATAGGAGCATCAAGCTGTTTGAGTAAAATACAACCAATTGTAATTTTAAATACTTACAAGGAGTCAGATATAAAGCAATATCCACTTTTCCAAATTGTCTGATTCGCTGAAAACCTATACTTTGTAACATAAAATAATGTGCTTTAAGAAATGAAAACTTGAACACTAATCAGTCTATTTCAACACATTATAATAAAGGCCTGAACTTATATCAGAACACATAATTTTCAAGCCAAATGGGTTTCAGAAAATATAGCGGTGAATTAGTGTCAGTAACGTATGTTTTAGAAATCTGAATAAATTCTCACTACATGTTCTAAAGTTATATATGGAATGTCAAGAGACAATATTGTTTTATATAAAGCATTCCAGTAATAAATTAAATAGGTTTGATTCTAGTTCATATCTATTCAAGGGCGTTGCAAAAAATTATTCTTTTAGATATAAGCATTAGGCTCAACAAAGATATACATCTTATATTTCATTAATATATAGATGTGTATAATATACAAGCATACATACAGTATGTTGTGTGTAAAACGTAACATGTCACTTGACCTGGGTTTGATGTGACAAACAAATGAATGAATACATCATCAAGGTTAATAAGATCTAAATAGTCTAGATACATTTTAGGCCCTTTCAGGATTTAGGACCGTCCCATTGCATATTAGGTGTTTACACTCTTAGTCAGTGTATAGTAACAGAACGAAGAGTCATCCTGAACTTGACCAAGGTCACATTTCGATTACATTTGTTTTGTTCATTATGCTTCAATGACATGGATGTAAAAACGTACTGCGTAGTATAGAAAAGAGTGCCAAACATGGTGCACTATAAACGTCTACCATGAATACTGCATAGTTGCTGAGCAAGTCTGGTGAATCGAATCATGATATGATCAACATAGTCTAACCTGTGATTCTCACAGTGTTGTTTTTGGTGATTTCACTCATCTAATGGAAAGTGTAAATGCTACACTAGAACCACACTTGAACTTTCCTGAGCAGCTCATCTCATGCATGCTTTTGACTTTTTGAAGAGAATTTACAGAGTCGATTCTTACATACAAAGCAGCTAGTGCAGTTATATCACATGAACCCTAAAAATCATAAAAAAGACAATTCTTATGATTGTATGAATCAGAGGCAAAATTCAGTTTTGGTCACTTACTAAGCAAAGTTGCGGGTTCTTTTTCAGTGAGGAGGTTAATATAGAAATATCAGGCTTGCTCCTTCTACGACTAAAAAAAAAACAATTTCTTTGTGCATGGTTGGCAAGATTGTTTCATTCTGGGGAAGGAGCCAAAAGTGGCACAAGGAATATATTAAAAAAGCAACACAATACTAGTTAGTTTAAGCCAGCAGCCTGATGGCACCGTTGTCAGATCCGAGCAGCAGAAGCCTCTTGGTGGGCAGCACAGACAGACTTGTGAGGGTCCCACGAAAGTTCTCTGAGCTGAGCTTGGTGGATCCCGCCAGGTTAGCTGTGCTGTCCAGAATGGAGTACACCCCGATTTTGTTGGCAACAGTTCCTGCCACAATCTCAGCACCGTAAAGATCAAATGCATGTATGGGGTCAGAGGGAGTCCTGTACTGGTGTAGTGGCTTGTGCTCCACATCTTTCCAAACGGTCAATGTGTGGTCAGATGAAGAAGTAACGAGCAAATTTCCGTCTGTTGCCTACAAAATTAAAAAAATCACGGTCAAGTAACAAACAGGTGGGGAAGTGTCAGCATTTTTTAAATGACCCAGACCCAGATTTTTACTTGTTGCGTCAACATTTTCACTGGCCCAACTATAAAAGAATGATTAAAAATTTGGGGTCAAGTAGATTTGTAAATGTTTTTGAAAGAAGTCTCTTACCAAGGCTTCTGTGATGAATAGCAAGTTGAAAAGAACAGCATTTATTTGAAATTGGAATCTTTTTGTAACATTATAAATGTCTTTACTGACATTTTTGAATTGAAATTTAAATGTATCCTGGCAGATGATTTAAAATTATGAATTACAATCTTACAAGTCATGTTTTGCAAAAATCTGTTATCCAGCCAGACAAAATTATCTTATGACTAATGAGCAGAAAATGACAAGAATTATAAGAGCGTCAGAAACACTAACTTTTAAATTCATAAAGGCATAAAAAATGGATGTACCATATCCATAAATGTGAGATTATCAGTAGCAACACAGCAGCAGCCCAAATCTCCCTCACACTTGCCTCAGGGCAGCAGGAACCCTGCTAAATATTGTTGAACCCTGCTAAGGTTCATCCATTTCCTAATAGAGTCAAGAATAATAAAGTAATTGTGCGACAATCTGCAAAGCTCATAGATTTTGTCCTAATGAGTAACTCGTGTCTATATTTGCCCAAACATGGGCCTCTGGTGGCAGAGACAGACCTTTGACCCCACAAATCAGGGTTAAATAAAGTTTGCCTAGTTCTAGTCGCTTGTTGACTGCATCTGAACAAACTAACAACGTACACGTTTTACTCATCATACTGAAATTCTAAATATTGATGTGAGTCAAGACATCCCAGACATGATGTGAATCAGTCCATTTCCCATAATCCACTCGACCCTCGTGATTTCTGGTCCATGCAGTAGATCTAATCCTGTACAATTGGACTAATAACTCATGATGTGTGCAAGAGAAGTAAACAATACGATTCACAGTTTTTAAAAACAGTCTGTCTCCATATTACATACAATTCCCTAATATCAATAAAGGCGCAATTATTGTTTACAAGCATGTGAACTGAGAAAACATCAAAGGACATCAGAGAATGCAATCGTGCATTACACATTAACCAAGGACATGCATACTCACTTTCATTTGCAGTATATCTCCCTCGTGACCAGTCCAGCCTCTTAGCACCAGACCCGTTCTTGCATCCAGCAGCACTATGAATCCAGTGGAGAAACCTGCCGCCACAGTGCGTCCCCCCGGACTGACAGCCAGGCAGCGGATAAGCCCAGCACTCATGTTACTGTAGGCTAGACGGAACTCATGCTGTCAACAGAGAAATAACATGGTCCTAACTAGCAAATAATGAGCATTGAGGGAGGGAAAAAACAACAGCCTGGCCACTATAATGACAGGTAATAATAATCTAAAATGACTGGATGACAGAGGACTGAGCAGTACCTGCAAGCCAGGTTTGCGCGGGTCTATGAAGCGCAGCACAGAATCAGCGCTAGCAAACACTACGCTGCAGTGAGGAGCAGGCATTGTGGTGACAGCTGTGATTGGGTTCTTCCCATCCAGAGGTTCATTACAGCGTATATTCGTACCTAGTCATATGAGAAAGAGAGAGAGCCAAACAAGGAATCATGTTAAATCTGTTGGCCTGACAGACATAGTCAAATCACACAATCTGTACAAGAACTTTAAACTTCTCTGTAATGGAAATTGTAATGTATACGTTTAGTAAATATAATGATTATATTAATAATAGCGTTCTGTGATGGAAATTACAGTTGTCTGTAATAAAATGGCATACTCCTTTGTATTCCTATGGCTAATGTAACAGCTACCATTTTATGCATCCAAAATGCAGGAAATTAAATATTTTTATTCTTTTTGCATCCTTTGCCAAAATTACAGCTTAATTGGATCTCATATTTCACTGGTGACACTAGAACAAGAAGATATATTGAAATAATAATAAATGTATTGTAAATTTAATGTGCGTTGTTTTTTATTGTTATATTAATCATTTATATTTTAATGATGGATTTACAAAGTGTAAAATTGTAAGTCTAGATCAGGGACGAGGGTAAACATTAACAATGCATAAATCTACCTCATTAGTAGCAAAAAATAAATTAGTTAAGGCATGAGTTGAATGAAGAAACATAAAATGTTACTCTCATATGAATGCAAAAACAAAAATCACACAAAAATTAACTATTAACATGCAATATACCACAAAAGGTTAGTAATACTACAGATGTATAATTACTTCCTCACCTGTGAATTGATCCCACAGATGCACAGTACCATCACAGCTCACCACTTCCTGTAAGGCCTCTAGCTGGCCAACATAAAATACAGATTTGCGGTGCTCTGCATATGTGAGTCGGGGTTCAACCTCTCGTGTGCCATCACCGTGGTTATAAAGCGGCCACAGCTTTACAGTTTTGTCTTTACTCCCAGACAGGAAGTAGTCCTCCCCTGCTAGTGGAGCCAGACATTTTGCAGTGCCGGAGTGA